CTCTTAATCCATTCCATTATTCCCCATTCTCTTTCCCAGTCTTTGCAATATTTTCGCCCATATTTTGCCCATTTGCATGGCATTCTGACAGTAGAATCATGTCTAGCCAGTAAACTAGCGTGTCAAATCGGTTGGTTCCTCTGTCCTCACCTCTGCACGTTGCTCCCTCTCTCCTCTGACTTCAACTTTCTGGCCAATGTTAGCTAGCTAGCTACATAGCCAGAGAGAAAGCACATTGTTAGATTCTCTCTCCCTCTCTCTGAAACTGTTGGATGATTTTTCTCAGTTTCTCTCCCTTGATGTGTTGGCTGGAATGATTGGTAGGACTGGGTGTGGACAGATACAAAGAACCAACCAAAGAATAATTTTGAGGGGGGAGTATCTAGCTAGCTAGTTCTGCTGTTCGTTGTTGAATCTCACATCACTTGTCGTGCTGCTCTCCTGACTAACGTGACTCTGCTGAGCTGCCTGCTGCAGCAGAAGCGCTCTCTGTCTCAACAGTACAACACACACACACACACACACACACACACACACACACACACACACACACACACACACACAGTGGTGTAAAGTACTTCAGTAAAAATACTTGAAAGTACTACTTAAGTCGTTTTTGGGGGGCATATGTACTCTACTTTACTATTTATATTTTTGACAACTTTTACTTTTACTTGAATACATTCCTAAAGAAAATGATGTACTTTTTACTCCATATGTTTTCCCTGACACCTAAAAGTACTCGTTATATTTTGAATGCTTAGCAGGACAGGGGGGGTAGAAGGATTACTTTATCCTATCCCAGGTATTCCTTAAAGAGGTGGGGTTTCAAATGTCTCTGGAAGGTGGTGAGTGACTCCGCTGTCCTGGCGTCGTGAGGGAGCTTGTTCCACCATTGGGGTGCCAGAGCAGCAAACAGTTTAGACTGGGCTGAGCGGGAACTGTGCTTCCGCAGAGGTAGGGGAGCCAGCAGGCCAGAGGTGGATGAACGGAATGCCCTCGTTTGGGTGTAGGGACTGATCAGAGCCTGACGGTACGGAGGTGTCGTTCCCCTCACAGCTCCGTAGGCAAGCACCATGGTCTTGTAGCAGATGCAAGCTTCAACTGGAAGCCAGTGGAGTGTGCGGAGGAGCGGGGTGACGTGAGAGAACTTGGGAAGGTTGAACACCAAACGGGCTGCAGCATTCTGGATGAGTTGTAGGGGTTTAATGGCAGAGGCAGGGAGCGCCAGCCAACAGCGAGTTGCAGTAATCCAGACGGGAGATGACAAGTGCCTGGATTAGGACCTGTGCCGCTTCCTGTGTAAGGCAGGGTCGTACTCTCCGAATGATGTAGAGCATGAACCTACAGGATCGGGTCACCGCCTTGATGTTAGCGGAGAACGACAGGATGTTGTCCAGGGTCACGCCAAGGCTCTTCGCACTCTGGGAGGAGGACACAACGGAGTTGTCAACCGTGATGGCGAGATCATGGAACGGGCAGTCCTTCCCCGGGAGGAAGAGCAGCTCCGTCTTGCCAAGGTTCAGCTTGAGGTGGTGATCCGTCATCCATACTGATATGTCTGCCAGACATGCAGAGATGCGATTCGCCACCTGGTTATCAGAAGGGGGAAAGGAGAAGATTAGTTGTGTGTCGTCTGCGTAGCAATGATATTAGAGGCCATGTGAGGATATGACAGAGCCAAGTGACTTGGTGTATAGCGAGAATAGGAGAGGGCCTAGAACTGAGCCCTGGGGGACACCAGTGGTGAGACAACATGGTGCAGAGACAGTTTCTCGCCACGCCACTTGGTAGGAGCGACCGGTCAGGTAGGACGCAATCCAAGAGTGAGCCGCGCCGGAGATGCCCAGCTCGGAGAGGGTGGAGAGGAGGATCTGATGGTTCACAGTATCTAAGGCAGCAGACAGGTCTAGAAGGACAAGAGCAGAGGAGAGAGAGTTAGCTTTAACAGTGCGGAGAGCCTCTGTGACACAGAGAAGAGCAGTCTCAGTTGAATGACCAGTCTTGAAACCTGACTGGTTTGGATCAAGAAGGTCATTCTGAGAGAAATAGCAAGAGAGTTGGCTAAAGACGGCACGCTCAAGAGTTTTGGAGAGAAAAGAAAGAAGGGATACTGGTCTGTAGTTGTTGACATCAGGGATCGAGTGTTGGTTTTTTGAGAAGGGGTGCAACTCTCGCTCTCTTGAAGACGGAAGGGACATAGCCAGCGGTCAAGGATGAGTTGATCAGCGAGGTGAGGTAAGGGAGAAGGTCTCTGGAAATGGTCTGGAGAAGAGAGGAGGGGATAGGGTCAAGCGGGCAGGTTGTTGGGCGGCCGGCCATCACATGTCGCAAGATTTTATCTGGAGAGAGAGGGGAGAAAGAAGTCAAAGCATAGGGTAGGGCAGTGTGAGCAGGACCAGCAGTGTCATTTGACTTAACAAACGAGGATCGGATGTCGTCAACCTTCTTTTCAAAATGGTTGAAGAAGTCATCCACAGAGAGAGAGGGGGGGGGAGGGGGAGGAGGATTCAGCAGGGAGGAGAAGGTGGCAAAGAGCTTCCTAGGGTTAGAGGCAGATGCTTGGAATTTAGAGTGGTAGAAAGTGGCCTTAGCAGCAGAAACAGATGAAGAAAATGTAGAGAGGAGGGAGTGAAAAGATGCCAGGTCCGCAGGGAGTCTAGTTTTCCTCCATTTCCGCTCGGCTACCCGGAGCCCTGTTCTGTGAGCTCGCAATGAGTCATCAAGCCACGGAGCTGGAGGGGAGGACCGAGCCGGCCGGGAGGATAGGGGACATAGAGAGTCAAAGGATGCAGAAAGGGAGGAGAGGAGGGTTGAGGAGGCAGAATCAGGAGATTGGAGGGAGAAGGATTGAGCAGAGGGAAGAGATGATAGGATGGAAGAGGAGAGAGTAGCGGGAGAGAGAGAGCGAAGGTTGCGACGGCGCGTTACCATCTGAGTAGGGGCAGAGTGAGTAGTGTTGGAGGAGAGCGAGAGAGAAAAGGATACAAAGTAGTGGTCGGAGACATGGAGGGGAGTTGCAGTGAGATTAGTAGAAGAACAGCATCTAGTAAAGATGAGGTCAAGCGTATTGCCTGCCTTGTGAGTAGGGGGGGACGGTGAGAGGGTGAGGTCCCCCAGAAAAGAGGAGAGGAGTGGAAAGAAGGAGGCAGAGAGAAATGATTCAAAGGTAGACGTAGGGAGGTTGAAGTCCCCCAGAACTGTGAGGGGTGAGCCATCCTCAGGAAAGGAACTTGTCAAGCTCATTGATGAACTCTCCAAGGGAACCTGGAGGGCGATAAATGACAAGGATGTTAAGCTTAAATGGGCTAGTGACTGTGACAGCATGGAATTCAATTGAGGAGATAGACAGATGGGTCAGGGGAAAAATAGAGAATGTCCACTTGGGAGAGATGAGGATTCCTGTGCCACCACCCCGCTGACCAGATGCTCTCGGGGTATGTGAGAACACATGGTCAGACGAGGAGAGAGCAGTAGGAGTAGCAGTGTTAATCACAAGGTCACCCTTCTTAATCACAAGGTCATTAGTTCTTTATACATCACACTTAACTTTAGAAGTAATGAATGTGTGTGGGTATGTGATGTGTTTTCTTTTTTTAAATCAATCTTTACAACAAAGTTATGTAAGGGCATTCATGGTTGATGCACTGTGAACCTCAAATGACATGGTAAAAGGCCTGGGTGGAAACAACCACAAAAGAAGCTGATTGGACAAAGGAGCCCTCTACTGCTCTCTATTCAAGTTCTAATCCACACTAAGTGCTTCTTCCACTTATTGCTCAGTCTTCTATTTGCTTATGAAGGAAACATCACGACTCAGGATATGACCCAGATGCAGACACAGGAGGCGGATAGTACAGTTCTCAGATCATTTATTATAAACACGGGGCAGGCAAAGGGCAGGTCGAGGACAGGCAGAGGTTCGTGATCAGGTCAGAATCAGGCAGGTCCGGGTCAGGGCAGGCAGAGGTTTGTAATTAGGTCAGAGTCAGGCAGGTACAGGACAGCAGGCAGGATCAGGGGCAGGCAGAATGGTCAGAACCGGGAAAAAGAACTTGAGCAACAAGAAGACAGGAAAGCACGCTGGTAAGACCTGACAAGACGAATTGGCAACAGACAAACAGAGAACACAGGTATAAATACACAGGGGATAATGGGGAAGATGGGCGACACCTGGAGGGGGGTGGAGACAAGCACAAAGACAGGTGAAACAGATCAGGGTGTGACAAGAAAGATACTATTGTGCTAATGGATGAGTGTGTCAATAATACAAACAGTCAGTAATTTTCATGAGTAACCTCACAATGTTGACAACTGATTTACAACAACACACATACAACTCATGGACAGAAATCAATTTTCATGACCGGTATGTTTGTGTGAGGGTGAGGCGAGACTCTCTCCATTTAAAGTTAGACTTTATTGAATAATAATTTAAAACTTAAAGTAGGGTGACCTTTCAGTCGCAACATGTTATGCTTGGAACAGATTTCAGAAGTGTGAGAACATGGTGAACAAAATCATGGTACAGTTACTCTATTCACTGTATCACAGTATTAATGCAAAGTCACCAAAACACTTAACCCGCATTATTTGTGACAGTAAACTGTGTCTTCATATGTTGAAGGCATGATGGTGACCCCAAAGGCACAATTCAGAGCAATATCTGATCAAAACAGTCCACACTTGCCCTCACTGTACATTCATTCATAAATTAATCGAAAGAGGTACACAGCAGTACAGTACTTAGTAAAAAGGTTGTATCATGCTGCTGGAGAGGTAATGACAGCTGTAGACCACGTGTACCGTAGACAGTAGACCACTGCCAAGAGACACAAAAAAACTTTCCCCCTCCTCAACCTCCCCACCACCCATAAGTCAGTGAAAGGGATGTCTCTGAGGAGGGCACCCATGCATCTCCTGCACAATAGCATCATCGTGCCTTAGGGGGGTGGATAATGAGATTAGTCGCTGGGGCCAAGCCTGCATCAGTCCAAAGGGGTCAATCGCTGGATTATCACTGCTCTTGCTAAGGACTTAGACAACACTATCCCATACACAACATTTTGTAGTACTCGTTGACTTTTTCTACACCTGACTTTTATTTTGGGAGTGGGGGATTATTAGGTGGAAAGTAAGAGTGGAAGACCTCATGTTTGCCTTTTTTGACGTTGCAAAGTTTTGGAATAAGAATTATGGTGCATGACTTTGTAGCCTGCATGGCCATGGGATTCTGACTGTCCCGGGTGCAGAGTGTTGAATGAGGGGTCTGGCTGGGAAGTGAGTGCAGGGGTGACCGGCGGACCGAAGGACGGGTGGGCTTTGTGCTCGCCTGCTGTGACAGGGTCTGCAGCTCTTGACCAGCAGCCCTCATGCCACTCATCAACAACAAAGTGGGTGACGATGGCACTACCAGCTCACCAAAGACTCTGGAAGAGGGGAAGGCTCTTATCAACTCACTCATAAAGGTGAGATGCTCAGGTTGACAATCATGGTTTTGTCGAGTTATGGTTTTGTCTATAAAGTACTTGTTCAAAGAATCTGTCCTCCATTCTTCTCACAAAGGGGTTAGTCAGTCCACTTATCTTCTGATTAAATGAGGATGATAGACTATACTTCTGGAAAAGTTAACGTGTAACAAAGCTTAGAGCATATACTATCATTTGAATGGTTTGTTCTGTTGTGCTCATATTTATTAAGATATCAAGATATCTTAGCCTACTATGTATATATAAATATTCAATATTTTATTGCAGATAGTTCTTAAATATGCAGAAATCTATTATCCTAAACTATGACCCTTACTGTATCTGCTTTAGGTGAATTTGTCGGAGGTGAAAATTAGATTCTAGTTCTGTTAAATTGAAATTGAAAGACTGAATATGCCAAATGATTTACTGTAATATTCCAAATAAACACTGAGCATATGGTAAACAATGCAAATATCAATTATGTGAGTATTCCATATTAGTCTGTAAATATATATGAAGGTATTAATGCAATCCGTGTATCACATAACACCCTGAGTTCACTGAGCACAGATTATTGTCAGCCTAACGTGGCTATGTTAAGAGCTGAAACCAGGCCAATGAGTTCTAAATACATTTTCCATCCATAGGGCATAGGACATCTTACCTTTTTCATAATACCTGAACATATTGCATTGTTAAACTAGATCATTTTTTCCAGAATGGTCTAATTTAAAGGATGAAATAAACATTAAATAATCTGCAAGTTTTCATTTGATCTATTTTACTATAAAAACAAGGAATCTTAGTTACTGATCCTCCCATGACCCATGCACCACTTCCTTACAAAGCTGCTGTTATAGTAGACCTGGTAATGCACTGAACCATTAGGCCATTTCTTTTCAGTGAAAGTGCTTTTTTACCCAAAGGGTTTTTTATTGTCTTGGGCATAGTTAGTAGTAAGTGCCTGACATCCTTACACAAGAAGTACAAAAGGACAGCCAGCATGGCACTGGGACTACGAAATGATATCAACATATGTTCTCTTAAAAGGTCCAATGCAGGCATTTTATCTCAATATCAAATTATTTCTGGGTAAGAATGAAGTAACTTACTGTGATTGTTTTCAATTAAAATAGTCAAAAAGAAAAAAAAATTGCTTCTTAGCAAAGAGCAATATCTCAAGCAAGAATTTTGCTAGGACTGTCTGGGATTGTTATTGGCAGGGAGGTTTGGAACTCGCTTTCGTATTGGTCTACCTACTGGGCACACACTGGTTGAATCAACGTTGTTTCCACGTCATTTCAATGAAATAACGTTGAACCAACGTGGAATAGACGTTGAATTGACGTCTGTGTCCAGTGGGTATTAACTAATTTACCGCATAGTGATGTCACCAGGGAAGGTTAAAAACTCCATCCCACCAAAACAGGCTGACATTTCAGGTGCACTTTCAAACAGCTCTTACACTAAAAGGGCATTATCATCATTTTCACAATTTCACAGTATTATTCCAACCTAATAGTGTGGAAATATACATAAAACACAGGGAAAATCAAGTTTCTGACTGCACTGGGCCTTTAAGTCAGTGCATTCGGAAAGTATTCAGACCCCTTCCCTTTGTACACATTTTGTTACGTTACAGCCTTATTCTAAAATGGATTAAATAATACACACAATACCCCATAATGACCAAGCCAAAACAGGTTTTTAGATTTTTTTGCAAATGTATTAAAAATAAAGACCCTTTGCTATGAGACTCGAAATTGAGCTCAGCTCATTGATCATTACATTTTAGTCATTTAGCAGACGCTCTTATCCAGAGCGACTTACAGTTAGTGAGTAAATACATTTTTTTTTTTTCATACTGGAATCGAACCCACAACCCTGGCGTTGCAAATGCCATGCTCTACCAACTGAGCTACATCCCTGCCGGCCATTCCCTCCCCTACCCTGGGCCAATTGTGCGCCGCCCCATGGGTCTCCCGGTCGCGGCCGGCTACGACAGAGCCTGAATTCAAACCAGGATCTCTAGTGGCACAGCTAGCACTGCGATGCAGTGCCTTAAGCCACTGCGCCACATCCTTGAGATGTTTCTACAACTTGATTGGAGTCCACCTGTGGTAAATTCAATTGATTGGACATGATATGGAAAGGCAAACACCTGTCTATATAAGGTCCCACAGTTGACAGTGCATGTCAGAGCAAAAACCAAACCATGAGGTCGAAGGAATTGTCCGTAGAGCTCCGAGACAGGATTGTGTCGAGGCACAGATCTGGGGAAGGGTACCAAAAAATTTCTGCAGCATTGAAGGTCCCCAAGAACACAGTGGCCTCTGTCATTCTTAAATGGAAGAAGTTTGGAACCACCAAGACTCTTCTTAGAGCTGGCCACTTGGCCAAACAGAGCAATCGGGGGAGAAGGGCCTTGGTCAGGGAGCTGACCAAGAACCCGATGGTCACTCTAACAGAGCTCCAGAGTTCCTCTGTGGAGATGGGAAAACCTTCCAGAAGGTCAACCATCTCTGCAGCACTCCACCAATCAGGCTTTTATGGTAGAGTGGCCAGACGGAAGCCACTCCTCAGTAAAAGGCACATGACATTCCGCTTGGAGTTTGCCAAAAGGCAAATAAAGGACTCTCAGACCATGAGAAACAAGATTCTCTGATCTGATGAAACCAAGATTGAACTCTTTGGCCTGAATGCCAAGCGTCATGTCTGGAGGAAACCTGGCACCATCCCTACAGTGAAGCATGGTGGTGGCAGCATCATGCTGTGGGGATGTTTTTCAGCGGCAGGGACTGGGAGACTAGTCAGGATCGAGGGAAAGATGGACGGAGCAAAGTACAGAGAGATCCTTGATGAAAACCTGCTCCAGAACACTCAGGACCTCAGACTGGGGCGAAGGTTCAACTTCCAACAGGACAACGACCCTAAGCACACAGCCAAGACAACGCAGAAGTGGCTTCGGGACAAGTCTCTGAATGTCCTTGAGAGGCCCAGCCAGAGCCCGGACTTGAACCCGATCGAACATCTCTGGAGAGACCTGAAAATAGCTGTGCAGTGACGCTCCCCATCCAACCTGACAGAGCTTGAGAGGATCTGCAGAGAAGAATGGGAGAAACTCCCCAAATACAGGTGTGCCAAGCTTGTAGCGTCATACCCAAGAAGACTCGGGGCTGTAATCTCTGCCAAAGGTGCTTGAACAAAGTACTAAGTAAAGGGGCTGAATACTTATGTAAATAGGATATTTCCGTTGGTAATTTTTTATACATTTGCAAAAATATATAAAAACCTGTTTTTGCTTCGTCATCATGGGGTATTGTGTGTAGATTGATGAGGGGGGGAAAACGGTTTAATCAATTTTAGAATAAGGCTGTAACGTAACAAAATGTGGAAAACGTCAAGGATTCTGAATACTTTCCGAATGCACTGTAGCATATCATAATCAAAATGTCAAGATATTGATACTGATAATGAATATGACTGTGAGTGATTGAAGAGTGGACATTGTGCCAGAAATGCACTGTGTGGTAGTAGGTTGACCTTTGCTGCACACCTGCAACTCTCCCATGCACTCACTGCCTGTAATATCTCCAATCCGGCTCTACCTTAAAGGTTCTTATGATGACTAGGCAAGCCCCTATACAAGGTCCTTAGGCTTATCCAAAAATAGATATATGTCAATCAGATTATTAGTCATAGTTGTCATGTAAACCAATCTGTCAGGCTAAGCTCTGAAGGCCTATTAATAACCACTCCTATGATTTGAATCAATGAAACTGTCATACTTTGTTGAAATTTGTCTAACCTAGTGTCGGGCTCAGAGCTAGTTAGGAGATTCTGATTTTCAGAGCAACATTAGGTTACTAATAATTACCTCAAAGAGTAGTTGTAACTTTCTAAGTACCATTGCACCCTAGCATCCTTTGGTTATCACAAATAGTAGAGCCATTGCACCTCCTGATGGCCAAAAGGGAAATTACAATATTCATGCAAAGTAGCTTGGCCACTGCCTATATTATTTTAACAGGTTTGAATGAGAATAGTTGCTGAACCAATGATTGTTGTTTACATAGTCCTCTCAAATATGCCAAATTACTGGAACTTTGTGCTGAGGACCACAACAAATGAACAATCAAGTTCCAGGCATTTCTACTGGCCTAAAGGTGCTAATACAGCTCAGTAAAAAACCACAGACATGACAGTATACAGTCAAATTACTTAATGTGTTTAAAGCCACAGTTCAGAATGTGTGTTTTAACTCAATGGCAGCCCAGCCTCTAAAGCTGAAAGGGATGAGGTTGGAGAAATATATGTGGCATGGCCTCATCTATTAATTTCTGCTACATGCCTTTGCCAATCTTAAACATCATGTTGGTCAGACAACGAACATACAACTTATGTGTGGCACAGTATTAGAATAAGGTGCTACGCTTTACTGGGCTGGCTACTTTTTTTAGTTGCAACCAGAGAAGATATACATACAGCTTGTTTCTGGTTCTAAACTGAAACCCTCGTACATTTTTACACAATCCACCACTGTCTTTTGTAATTTCACCCACACCACAAACTGATGCAGTTTGTAAATACATACATTTAACCTAAGACCATATGCAGACCAGTGGTGTTTACAAAACACAGCACATTTTCCATGAAGGACTTGCAGTTCCATGGCTTGTCTCCTGACCTACAGACACAATGGAAACAAGTATTTTGACTATATTGTGTTTATATCCTTGACGACAGATTTTGGTATATGTATCTGTTGCCGGGTGTAACATTTTAATGTATTTTAAATTGTCAAATCTAATCAGCAGATCTAAGCAAAGACAATAATTCATCCCCATTGTGGCTCTCCGCCTCCTACAGTCCTACAATTGTTTCTAGTACACATAATCTATTTTCACAGATCTAGATGTTACAATACAAATACTGTATATTGTGTCTAATCAGTCAACCCTTTTCACACTACTGAGTCTTGGGTGATCTGTACTGCACTCACTGGCCTGGTTACACATCCACCATAGTTTCTGGAACAATGATGATAAGATGAGATATGTAAAAATAAAATATCCAATGTCAGCACAGTGCGATTGGGACTGGCACAATAGTATGAAAATGATATTACAGTATGCAATGTTTCGTTTTTACTTGAGTGACCTGTAAATCATTTTTGTTCCCCTCATGTCCAACAGGTGGTGGCATGTTACCACCACCTCGCCTCGTGTGTGGGTGGGTGCACGGACAGCTTGCACCTGCGCGATGAGCTGCGGCTAACACGGGAGAAGGCCCAGAAGTTAGCGGTGGCCAGCCGTCACCACCTCACGGCACGACTACGAGATAAGACACTTCCCCAGGAGGAGAGACAGGAGATGGAACTGCTCTGGGTGGCCTTTACCTCCAGCCTGGAACTCCTCCATGCAGACATGTGCAAAGTCTTCAACATGGGTTCCAACTTCTCCCTGGTCAATAACAACACCTTAGTGCAGACTGGCATACAAGGTTAGCAAGTGCCACAGTCAGATGGGCAGTGATTCATATTGTTTTCCACACAAACCAATTCTAAACTGCAGTTAATAAAAACCCACCGGCCGCTGACTCTTTAGCTCTATAGCAGGGGTATTCAAATCTTACCCTACGAGGTCCGAAGTACTGCTGGTTTTTGGTTCTACCTGATCATTAATTGCACCCACCTATTGTCCCAGGTCTAAATCAGTCCCTGATTAGAGAGGAAGAATGAAAAAAATTCAGTAGAACTGGCTTTGAGGTCCATATTTGAATGAGTCTACATCCATATAGTCTACATCATAGTCTGGGCATCCACAAGCTGTGGTAACCTTATTATCATTCATGGCTAGCTCTTCTTCTCACATGTCTCTTCTCCCACTTTCCAGGGGAAACCAGCGAGGTGGCAGCACGGGCCCTCAGCCTGGCAGACCTGACCCGCGCCGAGGACCAGGTTCCCGCCAACCTAGAGGATCTGGAGCAGAGCCAGCTGGAGGAGGAGATTGCCCATGTGGACATCATGCTGGAGGACATGGAGGAGAAGGTCAACGTCCTGCGCTGGATGGTGGAGGCCCGCGGGCCCCAGTACGCCGACCCGGCCAGCACGGACAGCGCCTCATTGGGCCTCTTCTCCACGGACGAGGAGGCAGGTCCCCAAAGCCAGCAGTGTTGCGAGCGCAGCCAGGTTTTCATGGTGCTGGTGCTGTGTGGTGTGGCAGTGGTGATGGTCGTGCTGTCCGTCTGCGTGGTCTATCTCTCATGAGGAGGCTTGTCACCAGTGGATTTCACCCAGGTTTCGTTGAGCCGCTAAAAGCAGTAGGACCTTATGTTGCCATAAATTCCATCCTCATGTCAATTGATATCAGAACAAATGGTTGTTGGAAGAAACTGGTGTTGTTGAAATGTCAGGGTACTTTACGTATTTCTTTATTTGAATAAGAGCCACATTTAGAATGAATACACTCCAGGTTACGTAGTTTGATGCTCCCATTTCTGTTAGAAAGTCAATATCAAACACATTCAAAAAGAGTTAGATGCCCTGTGCAATATAGTTTAGCTAATGTTATATATGTATTTTAGTGGAATGAAATCGAACAATTTATGCTCTTTACTAATGTATGCTGACTACTGTATGTGATAGTAAGGTTAATTCATTTTTATTGAAATGCATTGGACATAATCTGTTTATACAACTTGACAGTGGTTGACAAAGCACACCCACCACATTTAGGTTCATCTTGTAATTGACACTGAAGGTGTTTGTGCTGCCAGATTACAATGAAGATCTTTGCATGTGAATGCAATGTGTGCGAGCATATCAGTTTGCTGACCTCTTGTGAATATTACATTCTAATGAAGAATTTCATGTGAATATTCTCAATATTGTGGCATCCATGTCACTTCAACCAAAGGTAAGCTTACTGCATCACTGACATTGTGTCCAGGCTTTGGCAATACAGTAATTATTGCAGGAATATGTATTCTATCACTTGTGTAGTTTTCTGTTTATATTCTGTCTTCAGAGTCCTCCCTAACCCAAATACCAGAAACCTGACCCGGGTCTGGAACGGGTTCCACATTAAATCAAATGGAAGAAGTGTTTCTGTGTCCCCAGCTTCAGATTCAGGCTAGCAGTCATGCCAGCAATGCAAGCAAACATGGAGACTTTTCTACTCAAGGCATATGAAAAATACAAACATTGTAAGTGACATACAGTAGCTGAGAATGTGTTGCCTAAACACAGTGGACGTCTGTGCACAATTTCATATATTACCAAGGATACACAGGGCCGGACTACCACATTTGGGGCCCCAGGGCACTGACCAGATTTTTAGTGTTGAAAATGTTTTCAGTTTTATAGCTAATGCTATTGTAGACATTTTGTCATGAGGCTAAGAGAAAATGTTGCTGTTTTAAAGCTAATTTCCTGCTATTCTACACATTTTGCCAAGAGACTGAGAGGGCATTTTGCAGTTTATAAGCTAATTTCCTGCAATTCTACACATTTTGCTATCATATGCTATCTGGGGGGCCCTGATCTCCAGGGTGTCCCCAACCTCCAAAAATAAAAGATAATGGGTTGGTGGCCCCCTGGAGGTCAGGGGCCCCGGGGGACGTGCCCTGCGTGCCTGTTCGGTAATCTGGCCCTGAGGATACAGGTCAAGGCATTAACTAATGTCTCTTAATTCCATATTCCAAAAGTAAAACCAAAGGTTTGTGTAGCTGCTGTATTATATGATAATATGCTAAATCTGTCAACACCCAAGCTGTGGTGTAAAAACAAACTGTGAATACCATATTATATTTCATTAACAGAGCATTACAACTTTTGATTAACTGCAAAGTTTCAGATAATTCCTTACAATACAATTAACTTTGCCAGCTTGTATCATACCAAAGGATTTATCAAATGGATTTATTCAAATATGGTATGGAAGTAGTATTCTAATAGCTGATGTAATAAATAATACGTCAGTGTTTATTCATACCCATCAACTGTTATTAGTATTAGGGATGAATAATTCATACATGTTCTGTGGCAATTATAGCTCAACATTACTTTCCTATCAGTTTCCTCAGTCTTTGGTTGATCACACGTGCATTGTGCACTGACTAGACTACTGACCCTTTAGGGAAATTAGACATTAAAGAGATGCAGCATACTGTAAATACTGTGTACAACAACATGGTCAAATCTACTCAAAGACCACTCTGCAATAGTATTTTTAAATAAAAATCCAAAGAAAATGCAAATACCATTTATTGACTGTTGACTCAAGAACAACTTTTTTCATCCTGATCATTTGTTATCATTCTGCTTTGGTCATCAATCCCTGAGAGAAGAAAAGTCAGGTGGTCTACTCTGAGGAGCTGCTGGTGATCCTGTACCAATATTTCCAGTCCCGCTGTAAATTAAACATGCCTTTTAAGGCTTAATGAAGCATTTATAAACCCTATATGGCCTGCTTCAGAAATCATACATAAGGCACCGCTCATTCTTGTCAGTCCCACCACACCTCAAAATATTGATTTTTATATTGGTAAAGTAAGAATGTGCAACATCCATATGCATTTACTTCACATACAGAAATACACATATTAATTTGAACAAATACAGGAAAAAATTTCAAGTGCATCAGGACTATCTATTACAGTAGTAAGAAAATATAGTAAACTGTCGCTTTAAAGTCAAACTGACAACCCTAGTTATGTTATGGAGTCAAATTGGTTACATCAGATCATGGGAGCTCAGGGAAGTGAAGTCTCACTACAGCAGAAAGGAAGAGGAAGAGAGAGACCCAACTCCCTCCAGCAGGTGGCGATTTTTCGTTTTTTCGCCCAGCAAGCAAGGAGTTTTTGTATGGAGGTCAATGAGAGAGTGTCAAAAAAATGTATGGCTTATTTGCTACGTGAGGTTTATTTGATCAAATAGAAGTTTCGTGATGCTTAAGTTGTTACAAGTGTACTGATATAAGTGGGACACTTATCCCACCAACTTTGAGAAAGAACACCTTATATCAGAGTTGTCTCGAGATGGCTATGCATACTCATGGCATGAGACTAGTAGCACAGCATCTCACTCCATTGAATACAGGCAGTTGACGTCAACAACCCTCATCGAATATTCAAAAAAGGATTACAATAATGAGATGTATTCACCAATCCAAATAAATGATAGGCGGGAGCTAGACAGCCCGCCGTGCCTCTTTGTGGACAATGACTCCCATTGGTGGGGCTGAGAGACATGTATCTTGTCAGTACATCCATAATCTTTGACTAAAGTGAAAGTGAAGTGAACTAAAAGGACAGGTTTGACGATGTCATTGAAACAAAGACTTGCATTTACATTTACATTTTACATTTTCGTCATTTAGCAGACGCTCTTATCTAGAGCGACTTACAAATTGGTGCATTCACCTTATGATAGCCAGTGGGACAACCACTTTACAATTATTGTTATTTTATTTTTTGGGGGGGTGGGGTAAGGGGGGGTAGAAGGATTACTTTATCCTATCCCAGGTATTCCTTAAAGAGGTGGGGTTTCAAGTGTCTCTGGAAGGTGGTGAGTGACTCCGCTGTCCTGGCGTCGTGAGGGAGCTTGTTCCACCATTGGGGTGCCAGAGCAGCGAACAGTTTTGACTGGGCTGAGCGGGAACTGTGCTTCCGCAGAGGTAGTGGGGCCAGCAGGCCAGAGGTGGATGAACGCAATGCCCTCGTTTGGGTGTAGGGACTGATCAGAGCCTGAAGGTACGGGAGATGACAAGTGCCTGGATTAGGACCTGTGCCGCTTCCTGTGTAAGGCAGGGTCGTACTCTGCGAATGTTGTAGAGCATGAACCTACAGGATCGGGTCACCGCCTTGATGTTAGCGGAGAACGACAGGGTGTTGTCCAGGGTCACGCCAAGGCTCTTTGCACTCTGGGAGGAGGACACAGCAGAGTTGTCAAACCGTGATGGCGAGATCATAAAACGGGCAGTCCTTCCCCGGGAGGAAGAGCAGCTCCGTCTTGCCGAGGTTCAGCTTGAGGTGGTGATCCGTCATCCACACTGATATGTCTGCCAGACATGCAGAGATGCGATTCGCCACCTGGTTATCAGAAGGGGGAAAGGAGAAGATTAATTGTGTGTCGTCTTGATATAGGAATCAGGTTAAAAGTAATGACTAAATGTTCCACCCTTAAATATAGTTGTGAAATGTTCTTGTTTTAAGTATGATTAGTACTTTCTTAGTAGTGACTAATTATTACACTCTGAAACTGTGTGAGATGTGTTAGAATCTACTACCTGATAATGTGTGAGTGTAGGACCAGTAAAGATTATGACATTGTGCTACTATTTAGCAATGTGAGTAAGAGTTAGGCCAGACAACAAAGGACAAGGAAAACTGTCTACAAGCAACTGAGAAACCAAGGAATTTAGGGAGGAGAGAAACTGTTAGGCTTGTGTGTGTGTGTGTGTGTGTGTGTGTGTGTGTGTGTGTGTGTGTGTGTGTGTGTGTGTGTGTGTGTGAACTGATGGTCAGGAGAGCAATTATAAAGTGGAAAACTACAGCCTGCCTACAGAGGGGAGGGATCTTTTTTTTTCTCTGACGTGTGCATATAAAAATATTGTACGACCATTTTGTTTTAGAACGTTCTCATGAATAAACCCTGATGATTGTATGCTGGGCTGCTTGGTCTGATTATTAGAGATTTACAACCTCTGGGATACAGACTGAGTAATAAGTTCATTTTTTAAACATTGGGATAGAAATTCTCATAACAGCTTGGTCCTTTCGAGCCGGAGCTCAACACCCATTGTCTGTCGTCCCAGGGAACCCCGAAACTGTGCAAGGGCGGATCTAGGATCCGTGGGACAAAGTCCTGACCTCTAAGATTGAGGGTTAATCCAGGCCGGCGGTGAACTGGTTCACGACAGGAACGGTGACGAGATCCAACCAAATTGAGTCCCAGCTACAAGAATAAGGTCAGTAGTCTTTATTCATGGGTTTTAGGGGGAAATTATCTGAACTTGCAATAACTGTTGTAATTCTTGTAAAGGACAGAGAATGATTACCAAAACCCTCAAGGAAGTCTTGCCATCGTGTTTTTAGACGCTTATCTAGAGAAAACCGCGCATGAGTATTCTAAATAAGTAGGAAATACTAGTGGTGTAGCAAAGGGGGGGGGGGGGGGGGGGGGGGGTTCGAAATAGACTCCGGGTAGAGAGGCCATTACCGAACATAAACTAGCCTTGTGTTGAGACAATATGAAAGAGGGTTGTCAAAAGTACACCAGGAGGAATTAAAATAGTATGTGTGAGAAATAGAATATTATAAGTCACAAACAACTGTAGATTAGCAGTAACTCTATCCGTTCCATGAAACTGGAGCCATAATTTGTCTTAATACAAACTCCAAGTCATGAAACTGGAGCCGTAATTTGTCTTAGTACAAACTCCAAGTAATGGAACTGGAGCCGTAATTTGTCTAAGTACAAACTCCACGTCATGAAATTGGGGCCGTAATTTGTCTAAGTACAAACTCCAAGTTGCCGGTAGTGTTAACCAATAATCTTGCGTGAGATTTAATATTTGCTCAAAAGTCACATCTAAGAATAAATTCCAAAGACAGGGACCAAAATAGGTCGTGTGAGGAAGTAAGTCATCATAATTGACTATTTTGAGGAAGAAACATATAAGAAATTAATTAAAGATCGAATAAATCATTAAAAGCAAAATTGTAAAATTATTTAATACCTAACATCTCAGTTAAAGTGACAAAAACAATTATTAGAGAGTTGGAAGTAATCTAAATTCAAATAAAGGTGAGATTCAGGAATTTGGTAAAAGCCATAAAGTAATTGTTCAAAGTTTTGGGTATAGGACGATCAAAGAGTCCTGCCAATATGGGAAGCAAACCCCCCAAGGAGGTCCCGGGGTCAACCGGAGATGAGAGATTTATGGAATCCAGGGATAGAAGAAATCTCCATTATGTAACCAGGTGGAGGGAGAGGTATAAATATAAAATAAATATGCCATTTAGCAGACGCTTTTATCCAAAGCGACTTACAGTCATGCGTGCATACATTTTTACGTATGGGTGGTCCCGGGGATCGAACCCACTACCCTGGCGTTACAAGCGCCGTGCTCTACCAGCTGAGCTACAGAGGACCATGGTTTTGAGGGACGTCTGGACACAGATAAACTCAAATCCATGCTTAAACAGATACATGAGGTGTGTAAAGGAGAAAGAAGCAGTGAGAGAGAGAGAGAGGTCTAAGACAGAACCCACAGCTCCCCCTGTGGAAAGGTCTAGATCAAGACTATACACCTCCCTGGCAGATCAGGCCTGGAGGAATAAATCCAGACGATGAGGTGGTAGTGGTGAGGGGAAAGGTGCCACAGCAGGCTGCCATTTTGGAGTTTCCATCCCCTTACCAGAACCAATGGGAAGCTGAGGGAGCAC